AGAAGAATCACTTGAAGCCAGTAGTTGAAGACCAGCCTGGGCAACAAAGCCAGACCCCATCTCTACAAAAAATCTAAAAATTAGCCGGGCCCAGTGGGGGCTCAAGCCTGTAATCCCAGCACTTTGGGAGGCAGAGGCAGGTGGATCACCTGAGGCCAGGAGCTCAAGACCAGGCTGGCCAACATGGCAAAACCCCATCACTACCAAAAATACAAAAAATTAGCCAGGAGTGGTGGCACACTCCTGTAATCCCAGCTATTTAGGAGGCTGAAGCAGGAGAATCACTTGAACCTGGCAGAGGAAAGTTGCAGTGAGCCAAGACTGTGCCACTGTACTCCAGCCTGGGCAACAGAGCAACACTCCACTTCAAAAAAAAAAAAAAAAAAAATTAGCCTGGCCTAGTGGTGTGCACCTATACTCCAGGCAACTTGGGAGGCTGAAGCAGGAGGATTGCTTGAGCCCTGAATTTTGAGGCTGAAGTGAATGAACTATATCATGCCACTGCACTCCAGCCTGGGTGACAGAGCAGGAGCCTGTCTCAACAAACAAACAAACAAAAAACTATATACTGAAGAAGCCAGACCACACTTGAATCAGACAACCAGAATCAATCGACTACTAAAGGGCAGATATTGTTGGCCTCCACTTACATAATGTTCCAGCTGGAAATGTATCACCTGAATCCCATCATAAGGAACTATCAGAAACCCAAATTAAAGAACATTTCATAAAATAACTGGCCTGGACTCTTCAAAATGACAATGTCATAAAAGACAGGGAAAAGCTGAGGATATGATACAAATGAAAGAACAGTAAAAGACATAACAACTAATTGCAATAAATGATTCTGGACTGGATCCTATACTGAGAAAAACAAATGTGATAAAAGACATTATAGTATTGTAACAGTTGACAAAGTGAGAATATAACTATAGATTAAAGTATTATATCCCTGTTAAATTTCCCATAGTTGATCAATGTGCTATGGCTACAGAAGAGAATACCTTCGTTCTTAAGGAAGACACACTAGCCAGGCACAGTGGCTCATGCTTGTAATCCCAGCACTTTGGGAGGCTGAGGCGGGTCGATCACGAGGTCAGGAGATCGAGACCATCCTGGTCAACATGGTGAAACCCTGTCTCTATTTAAAAAATACAAAAATTAGCTGAATGTGGTGACGTGCACCTTGCAGGCCCAGCTACTTGGGAGGCTGAGGCAGGAGAATTGCTTGAACCCAGGGGGCAGAGGTTGCAGTGAGCCGAGATCGCACCACTGCACTCCAGCCTGGCACCTGGCGACAGAACAAGACTCTGTCTTAAAAAAAAAAAGAAAAAAAGGAAGACACACTGAATTATTAACATGTAAAGTGGCATGATGTATACAACCTACTTGCAAATAGTTAAGAAAAAAGTATTTGCATTGAGAGATAATAAAACAAATTTGGCAAAATGTTAATTTCGATTGTTCTTGTAACTTTTCTGTAGACTTGAAATTATTTTAGGTCAATTAGGTTCAGAGGATATCTAATAAAAATAGACTACTGGCCGGGTGCAGTGGCTCACACCTGTAACCCCAACACTTTGGGAGGTGGAAGCAGGCAAATCATGCGGTCATGAGTCTGAAACCAGCCTGGCCAACATGGTGAAACCCTGTCTCTAAAAATACAAAAAATAAGCTGGGTGTGGTGGGAGCCTATAATCCCAGCTACTCGGGAGGCTGAGGCTGGAGAATCACATGAACCCAGGAGGAGAAGGCTGCAGTGAGCTGAGACTGCGCCACTGCAATCTTGCCCGGGTGACAGTGTGAGACTCCATCTCACACACACACACACACACGCAATAGACTACTAAGTCAAGATAATTGTAGGCCTTTCTCCCCTACAACAATTATCAGTTTAAATCCTTATTTTCCCTATAGACTACCCCATATCTACATCCTAAATAGGATCAAGAAATAAATATCAGAATTCCACCATTTGTTTAAAACTTTAAGGACTTTTTAAAGAAATTAATAATACATATTAAAAGAATTTTATGCAGAAAAAAAATTTTATGCTAACTTTGGTGAGTTTTGGGAATTTAAATTGATAGCTTTTTTGTGTGAAAACTTCCTACAGAAATAGGTACAGAATGTGCAAGGTATGCTATAATATACAAGAATGTTTAATAAATACATTACTATAACCACAAACAAACGGTGAAAGTCTAAAAATCTACCATTAGAGGAATAGTTAAATAAATTGTGATACATCCACATTGTAGAATACAATTTTTAGAAAGAAATAAAGTATATCATAAGAACAAAAATATAGGTATAAAACATGATATAATGCAGAATGAGAAAAGTTGCTGATAGATTTATTTGTATAAAAAAACAGAACTGTGCTAATGTGTTTATGTATGTGCCCAGAAACAAAGGCCTGAAATGATAGACAGGAAGTAGTTACCAGTGATTGCCCCTGGGAGAATGCGTAGGGGGAAGGGTACTACTTAAACTGTTTGAATTTTTTTCCAAAAAGATCCAGGTACTATATAATTTTTACAATTTAAAAAACAAAATAGTTTGTATTCTTAGAACTAAGATTTAAATGTACTTTGATGAAATATGGTTTCAGTGAAGAACATAAAATATAACTGATATCTGAACTACTAATATATGCTTATTACCTAGTATATATAACTAGATTTCTTTTTCTGCTCATGCACCTTTGTGCTCAGAAAGTTCCATGAGTTTAATTTTTAAACTAACAAAACTAACAAGTACTTTTTGGAAACAGGTAAAATAATCTTAAATTGAGTATTTCTGGTTACTTAATGACAGTAACACAAATTTAAAAACAAAACAAAACAAATACCAACATAATGTCCTTAACAAAGCTTATCCTGAGAATTATTTCAATTGACAGACCAAAGCATGATCTAAATTATGTACTTTAAACTGTACATGACTTACGACAGTGGAGAAACATAATAAACTGTTGAACTTTGAATTAGTGACCATCTTGTTATCCATTTTACAAATATGGAAGATGATTATCATTCAGTTATCCTTTTACTTAATACATGCAGGATTGTACAACTGTCTGAGAATTAAATTCAACAAATATTTATTAGGTTGCTAGCACAGTTATGTTCAAGCCATTGTACTATGGTGACACAAAGACAGTCCCTAGTCAAAAGAACCTTATGAAACTGAAAAAAAAAAAGTTTATCTTACATTGAATGCAATAATAAAATTAAGGACTACTACCTCTAGGATCTAAACTATTCCTTTAATTAGGCAATTTGGGTGACAAATTAACTTTTTAGACACTATTTGCAATAATTCTCTGAATGGGATCACTGTTACATACTGAGATAAGCAGTGGTTACACTCTTAAGTGACAGTTATCATTTAGATTGTTTTTATGTTGGGATTTTAAAAATCTATTCTCCTTTGCATATAAGGCAATCTCTAGGGACCTTTAGGGAAACATTTACTTTTTCAGGCATCTAGATTATTAGGAATATTACCATCACAATTTGTTAATATAAATCAATGGGCATTCCTCTATTAACAGAAACCCCATGGGCACTCTAAAACTCTCATTACAAGACACTGACACACAGAGGAAATGTCTATGCTGAGCACCTTGAGGATGTTGTTTCTTTACCTCGGTGTACTAAAAGAACTGTCAGTTTTCGCTTTTCAACATTTCCTGAGTGTTAACGAGTCCCAGTCCGTGCACCAGGCTATGAGAATACACAGATTTCCTCTTTAACCTCTGAGAATTCACAATTTAGTGGAGAGAAAGGCACACAATCTAAAAGACAATATTGTCATTAACTCCTCACTTTCAACAAAGTAGGTAAAAACAAAAGTAGTGGGAAATATCGCTTTGAGAAATAGCATATATTCAAATTAATATTTATCCATTTTCAGAAAGCCTTGAGTTGTTTCAGCAAACACAATATATGGTGAAAAAAACAGTACTCCAAGGAAAAACTCTTGGTTTCACAATTCTTAACACATTATAACATGACTTTAGGCACGTCATTCTTAACCAGGGTTGGCCTTAGTCACCTCGTCTAAAAATGTCAGGATTAGCAGCCTAAACCCGAATCATTTTACCAGTATAAACTAAATTGTCTCTAGTGGCTCTTCCGGGTCAAAGATACACAATACTCACACACTCATCCGTCTGATTATCCAAGTAATCATGGCCCAGGGAACCACTACGAGTAAGACAGATAAATTACAGTTCCTAAACTGAGATAGGCTTTAAACTTGTGAAGTCAGAAAATGTATTACAGTGGTCATGACATAGCCTTATAAAATTAACAAGAATAGCTGCACATTTTGTGCATTATTCTAGTACAATATCTGTGTGTATTTCCTACCAGGAATCCGAATTTCTGCACTACTGGAACCACGCCTCCCAGAGAAATCAGGAAGACACCAGAAAAACCTCCTCAAGGGGCACGGAGAAATCACGGATAAGTCACGACAGGCTTTCTCCCCTTGTCACCTCCCCCCGCAAAAAGCCCAGTGTTTTTCTTCCCCTCTAGCTATGCAGCTGCACCCAGCAGAGAAGTGCTAGATTAGCATCAACTACATTTCATTCCTTTTCTTTTGCAATACCTACTCGCCTATAATAAACAGACCTTGCGCTCAGGGGAGAATTTACTTCCCCGTCCAGTAAAAATGAAGTTCCTTATTTTTCACAAACAACACCGTCTCCAATCAACACCCAACCTCCCTGAGGGGTGGGTGAGACCAGGCACGCCTCTCCCTGCCACCCGTGCTGCAAGGCTGACGACCCACACCCTAGGAATTGTCCCACTTTCCAAGCCCCTTCTGCACGGGTGGCAAGGCTTTGGGGGACAGCGGAGGAGGCCGGGGATTTGGTTTGCACACCCGGGGGGCGTCCAGGCCGTCCCGGGAGCGCCAGACTGCCTCAGCTGGCAGGGGGCTCGCGGAGGCGGAAGAGGAGCGGCGAGCCCCGTGCCACCCCCACTTACCCACTTTGTCCTTCCCGTACATGTGCCCAGCCACCTGATGCGAGAGGGGCACGCAGCCGTTGAGGAAGCGGAGTCTGCCGCCAGCCGGCTGCGGGGCGCCGTCAGGGGTGGCCTCGATTGCCAGTGGGGTCCGCATTTCTGGGGGACCCGGAGCCTCGAGCCGGATGGGGGATGGTGGCTCTGTTGCCATAACGGAGACCCGAAGCGGTAGCGGCAGCGAGAGCCGAAAAAAATTAAAAAAAAAAATAGGGCGAGGGAGGGGGCACCGGAGAACCCGGGGGTCGCTCAGGCTCGGGCGCGAGGAGGCCCGGGGGTTCCCGCGGCTGGTGCCCGCTGAGGCCCGGGGAGTGGGCCCATGATGCCGAGCGGGGCGCTGGTGCTCCTCTGCCCAACTCTCGGCAGAGCGCGGCTCCCGGCTCCTGCTCCTCCGCCCCCCAGCTGCCGGCCCGGCGCTGCCCAGTAGACAGAACCGAGCCGAAGAGCAGCGGCAGCGGCGCCCCGCGCTCCCTGGGGCCCTGACGGCAACTGCGGCCCCACCTCCTGCGCCCCCGCCCCCTCCCCCTCCCGCCGTCCTCCAGTCCTCTCGGCTGCCGCGCGAGCGTCAGCGCCGCCAGCACAGCCACCGCCGCCGCCGCCGCTACTGAGCATGCCCAGAGGCAGTCAGACTGGACCCCCCAGCAGCGGGGCGGGCGCGCTGAGCGTCAGGGAACTGACGACCGCGACACGGACGGGGCGAGCGCACTCCTGGTCCTTCTGAACACTACCCACGGGCGTTTCGAAGCCACGTGTGCTGTTGTGGCTTCATTCATTCAACGCGCTTTTCAGCGCGTCCCGAGGGTCGATCCAGAGAAGCCAGGGACTTCCAAGTGTGCGGAGCAGTCCGGTAGTAGAATTGGAAGGCTCTAGCATTGCCAAGGGTGGCTCTAAAGGCCACCCCTAACTGCAGTGACCTCCCTCCAGCTCCCACACCGCACAAAAACAACAGAAGTAAAAACCAGGCAGCTTATTAGAAGACGTGCCTTCAAAATACCCTTCTAGTTAATCTCCCTCCCCGGATTGCTGTCTCTAAACCGCTCTTACCAAAAAATAAAAATAAAATAAAAATGGAACCGACACTAATTTTTTTTTCAACTATATCCACAGTCACCTTTATTGTTTTTTTCTTTCCCCCAATTATATCCGACACTAACTTAAGGCCGTAGAAGCAAGAGAAAAATCCTAATTTCTTTAAGTGAACACGTTTTCTAAAGAGAGGAGCAAGATTTTTCTCTCTCCCACTCGACCTTTAAGATACGCAGTTTCCAAGGTCCTGAGTAGATGACTGACTAGATCAAAAATATAAGAAAGGGATGGACACCGGTAGCTACGCGAGATTCTGGAATGGGACTCAGTCATCGATTCCTGTATGTCCGCCATTGGCATGTTATATAAAAGCTAGACCTGGCCGTGAAGGTAAGTCGTCACAAGCCCTGAGCAACAAAAACTGGGGTCAACTCTTAGGTATCTGATTAAAGTTAAGCGTCCTACTAATAATTGTCTCTGCCCCGAGAAGCCCACACACCTGAAAGAGACGTAAAATCTGGCCTGGATTCCCTAGTCCCAGGACCCTGTCCCTCAGCTTCAGGGCCCCGCCCCTCGGCGTTGCGCAAACTCAGTTGCTACCTAAGTCTTTTCCTCCTCCCCGCTCCTGTGGCTGTCAAAATCCGTAGTCCAGACTTCTTTAAGGCCCAGGACATAGCTCCACGCATGCTCAGCACCTACCAGGGTCGAGCTCACACACACGTGCTTACGGCCCGTCGCGGCGCCTGCGCGGTAGCAGCGCGGAGTCGGTGCCCGTAGTACGCCGCTGGCACCTTGGCTCTCGCCGGCCGCGCGAACCCGTTTGTGCTCGGTAACCTAGGGCACACGCCTTGCAAGCGACGGCGCCATGAGTCTGTCTTCCAGTTCCAGCGTACGAGGTGAAGTGGGGCCCGGGAGAGGGTGAGGTTGGTGAGGCGCCCGCATCGAGGCTGGGTTGTTTTACCCCTGCTCTACGCGCTCGCCGGTTCTATAACCTTGAGATGCAGAAGGGCAAGCGCTAGGCCCGGCTGCAGGTTCCGGGCCGGACAGCCACAGGAGGCGAGGTCAGGAATGGATTGATGGTTTGAGACCACGCCGGCGTCTCATCTCTAGTCCACGTTTCCCCTAAGTAGCCAAAACCTAACACGTAATGACCGCGCCGCTAGCTTTCCTTGTTCTCCATAAGACGCTTTCACACGTATCCTTAAGTCACAGAGCCTGGAAAAGAAGGAAAGGTAAGAGAAAACAGTAACAACAAACCCGTTTGCCCTCTCATGTTTCAGTCAGCGTCGTACCACAACGTCGATTTCCCGCGATCCTGAAGCAGTGCATGACTAATCACATCTTAGATTTGCAGATTTTTTTTTTTTTTTTTAAGGGATGAAACCCAATCCGAGGTCTTCAGTTTTCCCGGTTTTGTATTATGCCCCTGGCATCTGGCCCTCGGTGGGAGTAGTCCAGGATAGAGGATTGAAAACCGCGTTCGTCGAACCTTCAGCTTTGAGTCTTCTTTCCCGTGTGCTAATACCTAGTGTTTGGAAACAGTATTTCGCAGAAAGTCCCTTTTTAATAAAATTAAGAGACTTTATACTAGCCATTTAGTGTGGATTTTCACTTTTCTTGGTGATGTTATAATTGTTAATATAATACTGTGTGCCAGACACACGATATGTGTCATCTTCGCCCCTATGTGAAACGCCACTTTGCAAGGTTTTGCGTGGGGATTGTCCCAGAGGTTAATTAAAAATACGTTCAGTAAATATTGAGCATCTGTAGTGTCAGGTAATATAAAGTTCCTACTAACTTGAGCTCTAATTTTTTCATAGAGAGGTAGTTTCCAAAAATTGGAGAGTTCCACTTCTGTTGTCAAAAGCAGAGTAAGGGTGACATGACATTTCGAAGTTACTGATGATATAGAAATTATTATTTGCAAAAATTATTTTAAAGGATACTCATCTTGAGACTTTTTAATAGAGGCAGCTTCGTGCATTTAAAATAGGTTGTATGGGCCGGGCGCGGTGGCTCAAGCCTGTAATCCCAGCACTTTGGGAGGCCGAGGCGGGTGGATCACGAGGTCAAGAGATCGAGACCATCCTGGTCAACATGGTGAAACCCCGTCTCTACTAAAAATGCAAAAACATTAGCTGGGCATGGTGGCGCGTGCCTGTAATCCCAGCTACTCAGGAGGCTGAGGCAGGAGAATTGCCTGAACCCGGGAGGCGGAGGTTGCGGTGAGCCGAGATCACGCCATTGCACTCCAGCCTGGGTAACAAGAGCGAAACTACGTCTCAAAAAAAAAAAAAAAAAAAAAAAAAAATCACCATCTGAGATGCAACTTCCAGGGAACCCAATCTAAGATAGTTATTTAGGCCGGGCGCGGTGGCTCACGCCTGTAATCCCAGCACTTTGGGAGGCCGAGGCGGGTGGATCACGAGGTCAAGAGATCGAGACCATCCTGGTCAACGTGGTGAAACCCCGTCTCCACTAAAACTACAAAAAATTAGCTGGGCATGGTGGCACGTGCCTGTAATCCCAGCTACTCAGGAGGCTGAGGCAGGAGAATTGCCTGAACCCAGGAGGCGGAGGTTGCGGTGAGCCGAGATCACGCCATTGCACTCCAGCCTGGGTAACAAGAGCGAAACTACGTCTCAAAAAAATAAATAAATAAATAAATAAATAAATAAAATAAAATAGGTTGTAATTTTTTGTTTTTTAAAAAACTATATTCTCTTAGGATTAAGACTTTTTAAATGAGATGTTCATGTGACTTGTGCTGCTGATATTTTTAATTTTACAGGAAGACTGAACATGTTTGAGGTGGACCAAAAGATTCCACAATGTGTGTTTAAAATGTGGGATCATTTTGTGTACATGAACACTAAACTCTGTTTAGGTAGCATATTATTGAAATGTGAAACAGGTGAACCCCCTAGAACTTACCACTCTTTGCAGGCTAGTCTGCAAGATTTGTTTTTTAAACAAGACAATTTGTTGTTTTGTTTTGTTTTTTAAGTCTAACCATAGGGGAATTCAAAGGCAACTTTCCCAGTCATTTTCCATTGTCTAAAGAATAGGAAATCACTGAAGCAGGTTATTGGCTTCAACTGGAGGTATTCAATATTGTTATGAGGCTCCTTGGTCCCCTGGCTTCCCAAAGTGCTGGGATTACATACACTACACTCTGCCATGACTAGTTTTTGATTTCATCAAAAAGCATTAAAGTTGCTATGAATACTGTAGGGAGAGGCCCAAAGCCTTTGTAAATCTCTTCCACCAACACTTTCCTCCTTATAATATAGTAGTACGTAGGCAAGGTAGGAACAGAGAATGTCTAGGGAATTTAACTTTTAGTGTTTACATCACACAGAAGTTTGGTTCTTCTCTCAATCTTTAAACCAAATTTATTCCTGCAGATTGAAAATTAATTTAGATCTTTTAATTTGGGAGAAGATAATCATGTCTCTTCTCAAATGAATTCATAATTATAAAGGGCTTAGAATGATATGTGACAATGGTAAGCACTGTATAAATATATGTTAAATATAAAGCGTGTATATGTACGTATGCATAACTCTTGTTCATTTTCAGAAGAAAAATAAAATGCAATTTATAAATAAAACTTAACGGGGACCAGGCTAGAACTGGAATCAGGCAGAGGCAATGAGAATGAATGATTGGAACTGAAATAGTCTTAAGATCCTGGTCATTGAGATAGCTCTTGACACCAGTACGGTCGATAAGACCATTAGTTTTTTGCATTTTCTAGTACTAAGTGCCCTCACTGCCTACTTGTCCAGTCTCTTATGATTCCTCCTCGTATCCAAATAGATAACTTTTCTGAACATCATCCTGCTCCTTTGTAACTCCACCACTCATTGAAAGCTCTCACCCATAATGCTTTCCCTTCTATTTGCAAGGAAGGTGTTAACTCTTAGGCTATTCTCTCTCCCTGTCCTCCAGATGTTGTTTTCTTTTGCTTAAATCCTTGCCTCAGTGATACCTGTTGCTTGTAAATCTTTAGCACCTCATAAAGATGTTCTTCTCTTCAGCCTAAAGTTACTCATAATTCACCCTCATCTTTAAAAAAAAAGAAGCCAGCAAAACCAAATAAATTTAAAAGACCTTGTTTAACCTGTGTTCCCCCGAAATCACTTTATTTGACTTTACCCTCAACTTGCAAAATAGGAATTTGTCTATTAACCTTGTACTTTGTTATCTATCCCAAACCCTGATCATTACAGTGCATGTAATCAAAGTTACATTTCAGAAATTCTTATTCTCTTTCATATTCTTGTGTATTTTATTGAAACTAATTTTCTAATTCATTTAACCTCAACATAGGGAAATACAATTTTGGTTCACTAAATTCACCATGTTATTTAAAGTAACTATTTAACGGTTTTTGTCTGAAAAGGAATGTATGGATCATAGGATCATACTGAAAATAAAGGGGATAGC